ATGCTCGAGGGGCTTTGCTCGGCGGGTGAGCAGTCCGGTTCGAGGGCATGCTGCGTGGTGGCACAAGATTCCTAAGCAGTGGCATGGCGACACCACGAAGCTTCAAGTTCGGCTTGGCTTGTCACAGCTGATTTCAATCATCATGCTCGACCAACAAGTCTCCACCGTTCATCACCACCATTGCATTGCCCTCTATGGTTGAAGCACATTCTTGGATTTTGGATCATTGTTGGTATCCCTATGGGGTGTAAAGTTCAGATCCTGGGGCACCACGAAAAATGTCCGTGTGGCACCTTTGCATTTCCTGCTTCATGAAGCAGTCGATCAATGCTACCGGATTAGGAAACCGATCTATCCGAGATCTGATACCACAATGCGGGCCATGGCCGTGTGCACCGAACACCCAGGTTCTGATACGCTCAGGATCCTCATCACCCTCAGCGCACGTTTTGGCTCTCCGTTGAGGTCTCAAACCACCCTTCAAGACCGCCTCTAGGATGTGATCACAGGTGATGTGGTCCAACTTCAACAATTCTTGCGCGACCTTTCCCCGATGTTGGGGCTTCCGCCCTTTGATGCTCACTCGTTGGCCTCGGCTTCACATTCAGCTAGATCCCCCGGTGTCACAGCTGGTGCACGGGCGCGCTTGCATCACTGGCGATCGCACAGCAACTTCTCTTGCTGTGTCGGGATGCAGCTGACGTTTGTTTGCGAAGATATGTACAATCAGACCAGTAGAGATAAGGCAACCCATTTTCGACTGAATCGTTTCCAGCCCGGATTCAGTCTCTCTGGAAAGCGTAGCGCCCGACTCAAGATCCCAGATGAACTTGTAGCCCAGCTCCACAATGGTCTACTCTCAACATAACCTCAATTTGCGATGGAAGGCTGTCGCGCGCTGCCTTGCCGAACTCACCGCTCTCCCCGACACCCTGCCTGCCTGCCTGCCTGCCTGCCTGCCTGCCTGCCTATCGCGAATTGCTTATCGGGGGCTTTCCCGAACAGCCCCCCGCTTAGCAATGCTCATGGGGCCCCGTGCATCGGGCAGTCGCCAAACTGCCACACCGTCGTCGCAGAGCAAGCTGGTGTGATGGTTCGTGCCAGCACGCTCCGACGAGCCATTTTGTCCCTTCAGTTCAGAGGCGTAGCCTGAGGCAGGCACCCAATGAGCAAGACGATCTGAGAAACAACATTAGGGTCTGTGCATGCAAAGACATATGGGTTGCGTTCCGGCAATATCATGTGTCGCGAAATCACGAGGTCAAGTGTTGGCCCCAATTGCAGCAATCAGCCCCAAGCTTCGAACAGACGCGTAGTGTTACGTTTTAAGAAGTTCGTGCCCGTATTTATCACGCGTTTGTGTTGAGGTCAGCCGAGTGCCTGCTTGGGGTAGGGGGTGGGGTTGCGATACGGGTGACAGCTTTTTTGGTCACGAAAACGTGAGCAGTGCCTTAGGTAGCAATGCCGCGATGTAATGAGGTGGCTTAGTCTAGCACAAATGACTTTCGCGAAAGCGCAACTTGGGCTCGGCCGGTGGCCGTCCCAGACCCAAGATAGAGTTGAGAACGCAAGTGGCGGCGAAGGCTACGGAGTAGCACCGCGATGCAAGGCATGCGTGGTTTGGGCACTTCGGCAAAGTCGCAGGCGGGTTTGGCAAGTAGCCGGCGATTGTTTGGTCGTGTTGTGGAAGCTTACAGCATCACACGGCATTGTGTTCGGGCGTTAGTGTGTGAGCCATGTACCGGGCCACACGACGAAGCAATCCAACTTCTTCTGTGCGTGAAATTGCATGGGTGTGTCAACAAGGCACAGATGGACATAGACTATACCTTCGCACAGATGCTGTACCTCTGCATTTCGCCGAGGAGCTGTCAATCTTGCCTGCATGTCTACATACGGCTCCATCTGCTTGGATTTGGCGCAGGAAGGTCTATCAGCTGACGTCATATCGCAAGCAAACAAAAAATCAATGGGCAGGGGCCTTAATGTCCGAAGCCGAGCCATTCCGTTTGATTGATGTCGTTCGAAGAGGCGAGAGACGATCCCGCATTTGTTGTGGCCACGGCCTCATGTTGACCCAGCTACTAAAAGATGTGAATTCTCGACACCGTGGAGGTGTTGGTGTTTTTCTTGACCGTTGCGGCTGTTGCATATGGCCTGGCGTTCCAAGCCACAGGCGAGATGTGCGGCATGACATATATCGCCCGAATGCAACGAGCACCATTTTGATGGAGGAGCTGCCTTCTTGCACATCGTGCTGCACTTCGTGATCGGTCACTTCCTGGTTTTCGGGGTGCTGATTTCTAGTGTGTTGGGCTTACGACGCGACATGCCATTGCCACAAGATGTGCTGGTTGTTACTTTCACGTGTGGCAAGGTGTCGTGGTTTGTTGCGAACAACTACATGAGAGCGCAGTCGTTCCATGGTGTGGAACAGAAGATGGTGCTGCACGCTTCAGTTTACAAATGGGCCGCAGCATTCGGTGCGCGGGCAGCGTTGACATGTCGAGCCTCACATGCCAGGAATGGATGTACGCTTTTGACATTCACTGCAATTCGTTCTTTCCATTGTTCCTGGTGCTTTATGCTCGGGCCTCGCTGGTCGTCAGTGTCGCAGCATCGCACCAATGTGAAATGCAGGTACTGCATTACTTCATGCTGCCAATTCTCACACAGCCCAACCTTGCAGCTGCCATGTTGAGCTCCTTGGGCTGGCAGACACTCGGGAGACGTTCGTGTTCCGCAGACGTTCCTTTGATTTGAGCAGCGTTTTTGTAGCATCCACTTGCCGTTGTGACACCGGTGCTGCCCAAACCTTTGAAAATTGTATTTGCCTGGTTCGTCAAGCGTGACGGCTTCAGATTAACTCAAAACAAGGATTAAACCATTCCCGGTGCTGGAATTGCACGCGTCGGGCTTTATGGAGTTTTTATCTTCTTGACAAACAACAGTTGGACCTTGATCCCGTCCTCCCCCAGCCCGGATTTGGGAAGCCTTGTAGAAGCCATTCGAGAAGAAGTCTCTACGTCCAAAGCTTGTTTCCGAAAGCAGCCACGCAGGAAGTAGTTAGCGTGCGCGTGAGCGAAAAGCCTGTCGAAGGGGTGCCGCAAGCAAGACCCCCCTTTTGACACGCCCGCACAAGGCGAACAAAGGTCCAGCCTTCCGTTCATGTGGTGTTATGCATGCGTTGTTTCGCCTATGCTTCTGTCTTCATGCGTAAGGCCTTAAAGCTATAATGGGCAAGCCGGAGGACCCCGGGCCCTGTGCACTGCGACGGAACACGCTTGCCATTGTTTATCATTGTGTTATAGGGTGCAAGCAGGAGGTCTTGTGCGAGTAATTGAGAGCCATCGTTAGGAGAGGAGGAAAGAGACGCCTTTAGAGGGTCAGGGCGATCATGGCGAGGACGAAAACCACTAGCAAGAGCAATGCCGTGCCCAGGTAATTTGCTCTATGCTGCGGCTTTGTGCTACTACCTGTACATCATGTCGCTCGGGTGAGACCTTCAATGCATCTTGCAGGTTCTGGAGCTGTCTTGTTACGCCTTTGCAGGTACAGTGTCCTGCCGTTTCTGGAGCGAACAGAAGTGATCCTTTATCCATCTGGTCGCAGCCTCAATGGCGGAGTGCGGAAGGTGGCATTGTCTCGCGCGTGACCCCTTGAAAGGTGTGGTGGTTCTCTTGGCCTTGGTCTTGAGCTGTCTCCATGCCTGGCCCCCAGAGTTCCACCCATGCGAATGTCGATTTGCCAGAGCCAACGTGCAAAACTTAAACAATGTTCGCACAACAGCATCTTGCATCGTTTGCAGGTCAACCTTACGAACGTATCCTACCACTATGTGGGCATGTGAGTGTCGCTTCAGTCTCTCACCAATTGCGTGCCAGACATGCCCACAGTCGAGGCGGCTTGCGTCAGAGGAGAGCCGTGCCGAGCTGCTTAGAAAACGAAGCGAATCTAGCCGGCACGTCACTGGAAGTGCAAGCTGGAAAGGCAGTCGAAGCGCCTAGAAGTCCGGAGCACGGCATTTGGCTCAATCTCAGGATGCTGTTAAAATTCGGCAGTCGCTAGTTGCTGCATGTCTTCCCCGCTTAAGCAGCGGTCGAAGGCCCAACGGATCGATGGAGATGTGGACAGCCCGCTGACCCCACTGACTGTGGAAGGTACGATAATTTCTGTGCGAAAGCACAATGGGCTTGATCCTCCAGACTTGGCCGGGTGCAACGTGAAGCTGAAGGTAGTAAAGCGGGGCGATAGAGGCACCAAAGATGCTGTCCAGGCACTTCCCTGCATACCAGATCACGTAACACCACCAAGTTATCAAGCTTCTCGCGAAATACAAGAAGCTTTTGAAGCTCCATCTGTGCCGATTGTCAGTCTTACAAAGGATGAAGACGGAGACTTGCAGCAAGGGCAACAAGAGGACACCGACCTAGCGGAGTGTATGAACGACATTGAGAAGGGCTTTCATAAGCCACCGTCCATAGTGCATACGGATTCTATGTCTGTGGATGAGGATGTGGAAAGGCTTGATTTGCGCACACCAACGAACCCAGATTGGGCAAACGCAATGATCAGGGTTCTGGAAAACTTGAACGAGCACCAAAAGTTCAAAAAGACAGCCTTGCGAGCACGGCGTCGTTACCGTTCTCATTGGTGGCTGGCTTTCCGGCTAGCTTTCTGGATGTTGGTGATTGGCGGACCTGTCATCTTATATCCTGTCGCCGAGTTTTTCAACAGCTGGGGCACCAGGAGTAGCAAATACATGGCCAGCTATAACATGGCGATGCAAAACTTTTGCTTTCTGCTTGGCCCTTCTCTGGGTGCCTCAGTGCGCTACTCAGTGGAGGGGGTCATCGGCACTGGCCTTGCACTGGGAAACGTGCTCTTGATCAACCGTGCATTTGGTACCTACCTGAATGGCGGTGCTTATGCCACACGCGAGGAGGTCGTGGACGTTGCAATGGGCAACACCATCTATGCCTCCGACTGGCTGCCCTTGTGCAACTTGGGCAATGGAGAACGCTTTGTGGAGACCAACAGCACGGCGGAGTTTTTGCGGGAATGTTTATTCAATGTCCACTGGACAGCTGTCACGGAGGGCTCCGTGAGGTCTCTGATTATCTTGGTGGACCTGGCGCTCTTCACCGGCATCTTTCTTTATATTGGCTTCGGCACGTGTGTGCGTGTCTACGCAGCCGGATATGACTTTGGAATAACTCTTTCTGCTAGTTTAGCGGAGACATCATAAGTAGGCAGACTTGGGACTGGGTCTTTGTGGTTGGGCGAGGCACTCATCTATGTGCTCTACTGGGCAATGGCCTTTGTGAATCCAAATTCTCCGGCCTTCAGTAACGATCCAAGCGATCCGTGGACCCAGTCCATTATGACATGTGTTGGCGCGTTCATCGCGATTGTCAGCCAGATCCTACCTTGTCCCAACGAAGCCCTTGTGAAGGCTACAGAGCTTACTGCTGAGCTTGCCGAAACAGTCGCCGCGGTGATCGAGGGGCTACCCTTTGCGACAAAAGATGAAGTAAGCCTCGCCATCGAGCTCTTTGGACTGCAGACTTTGACTGCTCTCGGTCTTTGCTTTGCTGTGCTTCTGAATATGAAATGGGCTTGGGGTGCCCGGCCAGGTCTTCCATCGATGGGACCAGGCTCTGGCTGTCTGATATAGAGGGCCATTTATCCCATGCCTGGTTCGAGGAGATCATGTGCTGCTCCTTCTCTCATGCTTTAGCAGATCTTGCCAGCTGCCAGGACTTTGGCATCTTGGTTTCACGCAGCCGGCGACGGAGGAAGCTTGAGGCGTATACGGAACTCCTGGCCGCTCTCTTGCAGCACGCCTCGATGGCCAACCGCCTTTCCAGGAAGTCCCCTGGCACGGGTCGGAGTAGAGTGAGTAGAGTCTGATAGATGCAGAGCTGCCATCAGCTACACATACCGAGGTTGTCGCCGTCTTCTGGAACGCGGCTCGAGGACGTGTTACCTTCGATCCAGGATATCTGCTACGCGGCAGCAAAGGCCATACCGAACCCGCGAAATCCCGTGGACAAAGCGGCCATTGAGGACTTCGAAGAGGCCGGTGGTCAGTAATGACTTTTCGAGCACGGAATTGCACTGAGAGAAGCAGAGCACATAAATCCTTTGCTCCAGGCCATGCAAGCCTTGGAGACTGAATTTCCGAAGGCGGCTGCGAAGAACGAAATGACCGGCGAAAGCTTGAGCTTTGCTTTGGCATTGTGCACCATTGCATCAGGCAGGTGCAGCCAAACAGTCGAATATTGAGTCGGCAAGCCTCCACTGAATCCTAGTCCTCGTGTCACGAGTGTATGAACTTGCCAAAGGAACGATCTCTCGTCTTAAAGTGCTGGAGACGATGTCGTTCAGAACAAGCTGGAATCCACTGAGGCAACGTGGGTTCAAGCTACCGTCAAAGAGCGTTGCGTGTGTTCACTTTTTGCCCTGGCTTGTGTACTGCCCGGACGGGGTTGTTCAACGAGTCACTGGTTTACACTTTCATGACATGCTTGGTACAGTTCTGGCACAAAGTGAGCGGTACACTGTACACGAATTCCAGCATTAGTTGTGCACCGGTGGCTGCCAGAACTGACGTGAGGTTCTTGTCGGAGCTTTGTGTCAGAATAGAGCTCCCTCAAACTCGACGCGTGTCTGCAATTAAGGGTTTCATTTTGCATCGCAGAAAGGGCACCCTGCACGCATCTGCACGCATGATTCTTACATATGCCCAGCCATGTCCAGAAATCAAGGAAACTACCCATCGCATCGGCGATTCGTGCTTCGAAGCACGCTCGCGATGGTATTGGCATTCTTGTTTGGCTGGGTTGGACTTGAGCGCATGCTGAATGCATATACATCTGGAGCCGCAGCCACTGTCGCCACGGTTGTTTCCACTACAACAGGAGCAGGGTTCTCCCTTGGCTTGATCACACGGCGCCTGAATGCAGTGGTCGTTGGCACTGTGTTGGGCCACTCTTTGGGCCAAGTCCTTGCAGTGCAGTCGGAGTTTCACGCTTCCTTGTTCGCCCTGTGGCTTTGGCTCTTCGCCTTTGTGCTGACTTTCCAAATCCTTCATTCGAAGGCCAACGCTGGAGTTGCACTTCCTGTTCTGGCGATTGGAGTTTATGCCTTGGTGCCTCCGAGTGGCGTCTTCCGAGAGTACAATTCTTCAATTGACGTTGGGGCCGAACTTTCTTTGGCCACGAGCGTGAAGGCAGCAGTTCTCGGAGGAGCGATTATGCTGGTTTTGGATCTGGTACTGTTCTCAAGCGCACGAAGCCTTTCACAGTACCAGCTGCAGCACACTCTGCAAAAGTCGATGGGATTGCTTTCCAGGGTAATGGGCTTGAACAGTGGGAAGAAGAATAAGGCAGAACCGTCCAATGTGGATGGATCTTCCAACGAGGAGGCCCTCGTTCTCAGACATCTGGATGATTTGAAGAGACTCCTGCCGAGTGCAGCAGAGGAGCCAGCCCCCAAAGGAATTGAATTCCCTTTTGAGCTGTTCTCGACACTCGAGAGCTCTTTCCGTACTATCGTGTCGGAGCTGGGTACCCTGGAGTGGCTTTTCGCAATGATTGCCGAGTCCTCCGAGACTGCATCGTCCCTCCTGTCAGACAGAAAGGACTTCGAGTCGCTCTTGTTGGAGATGGAGAACTTCTTCACATCAGAGCTCACCAGCATACAGGTTATGCTGAAGGATCTTTATAGCCGGAAGCTGCAATCCGCGAGCTCCAACACATCTGGCGATGCCGCAGATCTTCGACAGGAGATCCTTGAGAGAGGATCTGATGCCCTGAGATCCGCGGCTTCTCCGCACGGGAATGTCGCGCACCATGCCAGCACTCGAAGGTTGTCCGGTCTCTTGGCAGCAGTGGGATCCCGGAAGCAGATCTTCCTTAATTTGGTCGATAAGATGCGTTCGGCTGCGAGCACGAGCCGCGGAAGCACTCCGCTGTCGGATATGCTATCGCAAGTTGAGCTCCTCCTGAGTGCACTGCACACTTGCAGCAGCGCGGTGTCCACCATACAGACGGTTTTGGCCCAGTACGGCTGAGGTTGCTATTGCGACAATGCACGATAATGAATGTATCTCCATGGTGGCAAGAGTCGTGCTCCGACACCTTTGAAAGCACGAGGCAGAGAGGTGAAAAACCACTTCCGATACCTTATAGCTTCTACTCCAGCGATGCAACAAACAGTCTTTACGTCTTATGTCTGCTCGGAGGATTGCCATCAAGTGCCCAGGGGAGTGATTCTTTCTGAAGGAAAGCATCTCCACTTCTCCCTTACCCGTCTCACTGAACTGATGCATGGCAACCAAAAAAGTCCCTATGTCCCTATGTCCATATGAGAGGTCTCAGTGATGCAGCCAGCTGTCAGCCTACCTACTGTTTTCTCTTGAAGCCCTTTCGACATGTCAGACGGATTGCAGCGGCTCAAACGCAGAGAGCCTCGCGGACCTTCGAAGAGCCCTGTTCGCTTTCGCTCACCAGCTCATCTGAAAGAGGGCTGCAATTGATGTCTGGCTGGGGGTGGAGCGGTTGGAACTCTGGCTGGAAAGGCGGCGGAGCTGGCTGGAGTGAAGACAACTGGCGAGACGGAGGCAAAGAAGGAAAACGCGGTGGCGGCAAGGGGAAGGACAGAGGCGACGCAGAAAAAAAAGGAGGGTCGAAGGGAGGAAAGGGCCAAAAAGATGCCGCCCCGGTAGCAAAGGCGAGAGGGCCTGGCGAGGCTCTACAGGCCGGGGAGAGCTTAAGGCTGAACGTGAACGACTGCGAGAACGGGCTGTCGCTCTGATGATATCGAGATATTTTCTTGGAAAGTAGCCTACGGTGTGCGATTTTGGTATTGACTTGGTAAGCATATTCCTGACATCAGGGTATTTTTGTTGTGGGGGGAGGCAACAGCGCCAGCCAAACAACTAGCCACAAACGAATTCAGATTGTCGTTGCTTGTTTGGGGATGAGTCTTTGTAAGACGATTGCTTCGTCGAATTGTTTGGGGATGTTGATGACTTCTGACTTGAGTCCAAGGCTTCTCATGGGCAGCACTGGCAGCGGCACTCGAGAGCGTGCCAGGCGGAAGACGGACAGCGGAACGCAATGGGCCGGTGTCCGTGCTGATTGTGGTGTTGCCGGAGAAGGCTTGTGGGCCTTCTGCGTGTGGAACGAGACTGGCGGCAACTTGCGCATTGGTTGGTCTACCGCGGATGCCAAATTGGCTTTGGGAACTGATCGGTTCTCTTGGGGATTCGGTGGCACGGCTACGAAGTCTCATGCGGGCAACTTCGAGAAGTTTGGCCAAACATTCGGTAAAGACGATGCCATCACCTGCTGCCTGGATCTTGAGAGGCGAGCCATTCTTTATTTTAAGAATGGCAGAGAGATCCCGGGAGATGCCTTCACCTTTGGAAAAGAGCTTTCCGGCGAGCCATTGTATCCTCACGTCTATGCCAAAGAGGCGACCTTTTCGATTTCCTTCGACGGAAGCGGTGGGGCTCCTCCTTTGTCCGGCGGCTTCAAGTGGATAGCAGAGGCCGGCAATTTAGTTCCCCATCCAAGTCGCGTCTCCGGAGCTGGACCTGCAGAGGTGGCGCAAGACGAAGCAGGTGACTCTGGACCGAAGTTTGTCCTGACTCCTTATGGATGGAGAACCGTCGAGCAAGCCGGCGGCATCACGCAGGAGTGGCGCACATCCCTTGATGCCTATGTCCGGCACTTTACCTCGCACCTTGGCCGCTGTCATTGTGACCGCTTTGCACTTGCACGTCGCATCGTAGAATGCCGTGGTCTGAGTACGCACAGCGGTGCACTTGTCCTGTTGGCGGTCGGTCGGAGGTGCTGCAGGGGGACGGGCAAGTGCTTGACGTGAGATCGAACGCTTTCTGCATCCTTATGCGATGGGCGACTGTTCTTCAAGAAAGTAGAGACCTGATGTAGGGTATGGCACTGCCGCTGCAGGGCAGTGTAAGCTGCAACGGCTGACTAGGATGAGCACTCGCCGCTGGTAGGTACAATCGGAAGGTTCGTCGCACAATCGTACAAGCATGCCAGGCGAAAGTCACTGAGCCCTGAGCTGTGTAGCAGGGCTGTGGAAATCGAAGAAATGCCTGGAGTAGCATCTGCCAGACGGTTCCCGGATTTGTCACAGCTGCGAATTGACAAACTGTGCTGAAGAAGCCTCTACAAAGCAATGCGCGCAACCGAACGACCTCCGACCAACCAGAGAGCCTCAAAGCAAAAAAGCGAGAAGGATGCTGGTTGCGGACGGTAGAACGGGGGGGGGGTACCCCGCAAAGACACGTAGTCTCTTCTTTTCGTGGTTGCAGTTGCAGTTGTTGCTTATCTCTCAGGAGCCTGGAGCTGGAGTACGAGGCCGAGCGGCAGGCGGTGCTCGAGAAGGTGCAGAAAAGGAGCACTCGGCAGCTGCAGGACGAAGGCATCGGAATCGCTGGACTCTGTGGCGAGTTCGATGCCGTCTATGGTCGGGTCACGCTCTGGCCAGATGGTTGGAGGATGCCATATCTTTCTGAAATCAAGTTTGGCCGAGCAGTGCTGCTGAGCACCACGGACGGAGGCGTAGACTTGAAAGATCCGAAGAAAACCATATCAGCAGAAGTCGAAAGCATCCGTGACAACACCATAATCCTCAGCACGCCCTACGAGCGATTGCCTTCAACCGGAAGGGGTAATGACTTGTACAGGGTGGACCTTGGTCCGAATATTATCGCCAACAAACGCATTGACAAGATGCTGGACGAGTTGCAGAGGTGTCTGGGCGTGGACCAAGCTGCCAACCCTCGGGATTCAATCCAAAAGCTCAACTACAACGCGAATTTGTGCGGGCTCCTTTTGCCCGGAGCTCCATTGGCAGATGCTCTCTATGCAGATATCCACGAGTCGTCCGCAGCTGCGGCAAAGTGGGACCCCTTAACTCGGGCGGCGCCCAATGCGAAAGCCGACATCAGCCGTCACGCACGTGAAAAGGACATCGGGGCCGAGAAGTATACAGCACACAGTGACATCCACAGCGAAAAGGATTTGAATGAGTCGCAGCAGAATGCTCGGGACATGGTCCTGGAGCAAAGGCACGCCTGAACTGTTCGCATCCAGTTTGCTCTCAGATGGGCAGCTGGAAGTGTTGTAGCACACTCATTGTTCAAGTAGGCACAGTCGGGTTCGAGGCAGTGCACGATGTGATTCGCTTTGTCCCGTGAGGCGCCGATTCACTTTGGTTCAAGGTCCGCCAGGCACAGGGAAGACCACCACGGCAGTGGCCATCATCTGCGGTTGGTTGAAGAGCAACCGTGGGCCAGTACTCGCCTCCGCTTTCAGCAACAAAGGTTGTGACAATGTCGCACAGCAGCTGCACGCCTTGGGTGTCAAGGTGCTGCGAATGGGGCTTTGCTCTGCGAAAGAGCCGTATTCGCTGGAGACGAGGCTCCAGGAGTGCGGCCTGCGGCGTGGGGACAAGGGCATGAAAGCCGTCTTTGAAAATGTCGATGTGATCTGTGCGACATGCATCGGCTGCGGCATGGGCCCGTTGGACAGCAAGACCTTTCCTTTCATCGTGATTGACGAGGCGGCTCAGGTCATCGAGCCCGCCGTGATTCTTCCTCTCGGCAAGGGGGCCGTCCAGGCCGTGATGGTGGGCGATCAGTGCCAGCTCCCCGCTACGGTCCTCAGCCAGGAAGCACAGGCCAAGGGCCTGGACATCTCCATGTTCGACCGATCCTCGCGACTGAAGTTGTTGGAAGCTGTTTTGTTAAGATGTGGTTTTGCTCTTTGCATGTCTCCCCGCTCCTGCCCTCTCTCTCTCTTCTTGTGCTGGAGCATCCCTGCCGACAAGGGCTGCTGTCGATGGGCATGGAGTACACGCTCCTGACAGATCAGTACCGAATGCACCCCTCCATTAGCGCCTTCCCGTCCTGGCGCTTTTATCGTGGCGAGTTGAAGAATGCGGTGACAGATGCCGATCGGCAGCTGCCACACGGGCTTCCTTTCCGGTCTCCGCTGGTTTTTCTGCATGTGGATGCCATGGAGAGCTCTGGGGGAGCTTCCAAAAAGAATGAAGCGGAAGCAGACTGTGTGGCTTGGGTCGTGGAGCAGGCCGAAGCCCAGCAGGTATAGCTGCTCATAGCCGCGCATAGCCGTATAGCTGGTGTCACGACATCCCAGAAAAAAGCAAGCCGGTATCTTGCGCAGGTCATGCAGCATGAGATTCGACCGGAAAGCATTGGCGTCATCTCTCCGTATGGAGCACAGGCAGGCGAAGTCATTTTAAGGAAGTGGCACCGGGGCGGCTGCAAGTTGTAATCCTTGCGTCAGGTGAAGCTGATACAAAGGTCACTGCCGTACAATGCGCAGTTGGCGGTACAAGTGTCGACCGTGGATGCATTCCAAGGGAGCGAGAGGGAGGTTATTATCTTCAGCCTCGTCCGAGCCAACCGTCGTGGAGATGTCGGATTTGTGGCCGACTGGCGGCGTCTCAACGTGGCCTTGACACGTGCCAGACGACTTTGTGTCGTGATCGGTGCCGGCCTAAGAGAGCTTGCAAGAACGATAGACGCAGAAAGATGCCATCTCTGACAAAACAATCACTTCGGTAAGTGTTGTGAAAGGCGGAGTGACCCAAGTCAACTCACGATCCACAAGCTTGGCAATCCATGCAGTTTGCATCGGGGCAGAGTTGAGGGGAGTGGCATCTGACTACAACCTTAACGCCGAAGGCTCCAGCTTTCCTGGGCACCGTTAGTTGCCTGATGCCCAATTGCCAAGTATGTGCTGAGGAGTTATGCATGGGTTCCAAAGCATATTTTCCGATGTCACACATGCAAACCACACGCAACACACCGGCCTCGCATGCCGGATCTCTGGAGGTGGGGTCCAGCCTAGTTTGCGAAACGTTGGCAGAAACAAGTGCCAAGAGCAAATATTCCAAACCATGATCTGAGCAAGACCAGCAGCACCAGCATACCTGAACCGGCCACAGTTTTTGATGTTGGTTATGTTCGAACCCTGCCGATGCTCCTCGCAATTTCATAAGGGAGGGCCAACGTGTGTGAGAATTTACTTTTTGCGCCTGTGGGTAACTTCTTTTGGGCCTCGTCCGCTTCTTGCTACTGTGCTTTTGCGCATCTCCACTTCAGCGCCCGAGCTGTCATTTTCTGTTTCTGCGCTTCTCGTTCGCCTTTTTGCTTTTGTGCTTCTGCGCTTCTCCGGTACGGAGCACGAGCAGTCAGTGTCTGCTTCTGCGCCTTTGCTTTTCCGCTTCTCCGCCTCAGTGTGTCAGACCACCTTTTCCGCCTGCCGCTTCTTGGCAAATAGCAGGAAGCTTGTCCCAAGGAGCACCTTGTCGTCTCGTGCCCCGAGAAAGGGAGAGGCCTCAAAACGCATCAAAAAAGTATCAACTGCTTGCATCAACGATTCAAAAACGAGAACGAAAGAAGGAATGAAAGGAAGAAAGACAGAAATAAGCAACAAAAGAGGCAAAGAAGGAAAGAACAGAACTACCTAACGAACGAGGCGAAATATGAAAGGACGAAAGAACGAACTACCACACAAAGACAAAAGAAAGAACGCCATAGCGAAATAAAGAGAAAGAAAGACAGAACCAGAGAAAGAAAGAACGAAGCGAACAAATAAGGAAAGAAAGCAAGAAATAACGAACGACGGAAGTAACGAAATAAATAAATAACGAATGAACGAAAGAACGAACGATCGACATAATGTGGAAGGGGAAAAGAACGACAAAATGAGCGAGATAAAAAGAACGAAAAACGGACAGAACAAAATACCCAAGAACAACAACATAGTGAACGACAGGAAAATGAAACACTGAGCCAAAAACATGGAAATACATGCATAGCCGGTGGCAAGCGTCAAACTGTTTGTATGTATATATATATACACATGCGTTGCGTGTGTTATCGAGTGTGTGTGTGTACCTACACACAGAGAGAGAGAGAGAGATATATATATATATGTATCTATACATATATATATATATATGTGTGTGTGTGTGTTTGTTTGTTTGTATGTGTACACTTTTTTGCATACATGTACGCATACATGTACGAAAAACACACATACATACATATGTATGTATGTATATATATATATATGATCCCGGTTCCGGGTTGGGTTCGCCGACCCCCCCCCCCAATGGTATCCCCCCCCCTGCCCCCCTATGGGCCCAAGCCCGTGCTGCTGCGCGGACCTGCCCCTGCTGCTGCGGATTGGGGG